TGCCATACTAGTTCTTGCCAGTCCGCCATGTTTTTCCGTGTTCAACTGTCCGCTTGGTTAGAAAATTTCCTAAGTGTGTGGTGCGGAAAGTTTGGGCTGTGCGGAGGCACGCACGCACACACACACACACACACACTAACCTGGATGGGACTTTCAGGCACAGTCCATAGTTGGTTCCAATCTTATCTTGAAGGCAGGGGTTATGTTGTCTCTACTGGTGATCACAAATCAATGCTGATCAAATCAAATCTTGGTGTCATAATTGATTCAGACCTGAGCTTCACTGGTCACATTAAGGCTATAACTAGATCAGCGTTTTATCATCTCCATCAAAAGCATGACTCAGACGTCTCATGACCAGACAAGACCTAGAGAAACTCATTCATGCGTTCATCTACAGCTTGCTGGACTGTTGCATTGGTCTTTTGGCTGCAGCTTACTTAGAATGCTGCTGCTGGAGTCTTAACAAGAACCAAGAGAACCGAGCACATCACTCCTGTTCTTACATCTCTACACTGGTTACCAGTAAACTACAGAATCAATTTCAAAGTGCTACTACTAGTTTATACATCACTCAATGGCATGGGGCCAGAATACATGTAGGATCTCCTTCAGGTATCTGCGCCCAGCAGGGCTCTGAGGTCCTTAGGAATCAGTCAGCTGGTAGAACCTCGGGTCAGAACCAAACAGGGTGAAGCTGCTTTTAGCTACTTTGCTGCAGACAGATGGAATCAGCTTCCTCATGACCTCAAATGTGCCCCAACTCTAGAAACTTTTAAATCAAAGTTGAAAACCTTCATGCTTTCATCAGCCCTTGAATAAATGTTCTTATGCTGCACCTTCTGCGCTGTATTTGCTCACCCTTTAACTTTCACTTAGTTTCTTTTTAGTTATTAAATTGTATTTTCTGTCACGTTGATTTTAATGTTCTCACTAATGGAAGGCACATTGAGTTGCCTGTGTGTGTGAAATGTGTTATATAAGTAAAGCTACCTTGCCTTGATGACGGTCGTCTGATGTTGCGTTTTCAGCCCGGCTTGGATTGCTCGGAGCCGCATCAGAGTTGGCAACAAAAACGGGCCTGAGAACATGCTAGCTCCATGCTGAAGCCATGCATGATGCAGCTGGGACAGTGCTACCAGCTGCACAACCATGCAGCCCAGAAACTCTAGTTATTCTCTAGACTACTTTTAGCTATAGTAAACCGTAACATTTGTTTTATAGTAGTTAAGAAATGTAGTTTGTGAAAATGGCTGCAAAAGATGCCAGTTCACCACATTTATTAGGTGCCTCTGATGCACGAGTAAATGTCCCTTCTCAGAGGAAAAAATAGAGATGAATATATTCCATTAAAAGAGGTAAAGCAGCATATTGGCTAGTGGGACAAATGACCTCCTGTACATTTCCTTTGAGCAGTATGGAGAGGCTTTCTGGCTGATTAGAGTGTTAATAGAGGGGGGCTGGAATGTGTTGTCCCTTAATTGGTTACCTAGTGGAAGCATCTTTTTTCTAGTGTCGCCTGCAGGGAGTCGGGGCCCACATCAATGACAGACTCTTGTCTTATCGCTGAAGCCACAGACAGTCGGACGTGCCTAGCAGCTCTGTGCTTCAGTGGCTGAGCGGGCTCCTTGCATCTGCAGCAGCAGCAGCACCTCCTGGGGTTCTATAAGAGAAACTCTGCGGGAAATCTTGTTTGGGATGTTTTTTTAATCATCCTTTTGTCATTTACCACTGTCTGAAAAATATCTCACGAGCCACTCAGTTATAATTGTAACTCTCAGGGTTTAATCACTGGATACAAACAGAAACGGATTGTGTTTTGGTGTCTCACCCAGTCACTTTCACAGACACTGAGCTTTACTTTGGTGTTTCAGTACCTGGACTCATCGCCCAACACACTCTCTGACAGATTGCACAACATTATGGGAGATCATGAGGTTTTGCATTACTTTTTTGCTAAATTGTGCTATGATGGCTCTGCCCCCAACATTTCTCAGAAGATGGATTAAAGAGGTTCTAGAACAACTTTTATTACAATTGGAAATTGTTCTTTGAGCCTTTTTGCAACATATGAAAGTTTGTTGGGGCTCAAAATGGCCCAGGAGTCCTGATAAATGGCTAAACAACCCCATAAGAAAGCCATACTGGTTTGCCTCGCCCACTCAGCCAGGAAATAAATATTAACTCATTAACTGTCATTGACGAAAAAAGTCGTCATTTTAAATCCAACAGTGCACTGCCAATGATGACTAAAGTCGTCATTTGCATGCTTTTACTGTGTGGGCGTCGGAACGAGCCCCCCGCACCATGAGAACAAACATCTCAGCTCTAAAGCCGATCTTCATCCGCATACGTCTCATGTCACGTGATCAGGAAGCAGAACATCCATGTGTTAGGAGATCATTTTGGCGTCGACATCATCCTAGAGCGCAACGTGCTGTGACTCTTAACTCATTCACTGCCAGCCGTTTCCTGATCACTAAAGCCCTTCGCTGCCAGCGTTTCTCACCGTTTTTACTGTTTTTTTAAGAGTCACAGAATGTTGCGCGCTAGGATGATGTCGATGCCAAAACAACCAAAACAAAGAGGAGACTCACCTCTTACATCAGGAAGAAGCCGCGTGTTTCGAGCGTTATCCGTTCTTTCATAATCCGTTGTCGAATTGTGATTGGCAGACGCTTTTCCGGTTCCCGCCTCACTTTTTTTACAGGAACGGCCCAAAACGATCTCCTAACACATGGATGTGTTGCTTCCTGATCATGTGATCTGTGACGTATGCGGATGAAGATCGGCTTCAGGGCTGAGATGTTTGTTCTCTCAGCGCGGGGGCTTCTTCCTGATGTAAGAGGTGAGTCTCCTCTTTGTTTTGGTTGTTTTGGCATCGACATCATGCTAGCGCGCAACGTTCTGTGACTCTTAAAAAAAACAGTAAAACCGGTGAGAAACGTTAGCAGCGAAGGCCGTTAGTGATCAGGAAACGGCTGGCAGTGAATGAGTTAAGAGTCACAGCACGTTGCGCTCTAGGATGATGTCGACGCCAAAACTAACTAAACAATTGTTTAATTGTGATCGGCAGACGCTTTTCCGGTTCGCGCCTCACTTTTTTTTACAGCAGCGGCCCAAAACGATCTCCTAACACATGGATGTTCTGCTTCCTGATCACATGACGTGTGACGTACGCGGATGAAGATCGGCTTTAGAGCTGAGATGTTTCTTCTCACGGTGCGGGGGCTCGTTCCGATGCTCAAACAGTAAAAAAAAAAAATCCAAATGACGACTTTAGTCGTCATTGGCAGTGAGTGAGTTAAAAAACAGTGAAAACGCTGAAAAACGCTGGCAGCGAAGGGCTTTCTGATCAGGAAACTGCTAGCAGTGAATGAGTTAAATGAGCTGTGTGCTGATTGGCTGGTTTACTTTGATAGCTCTATGACTGCTTGACTCCAGAAACTCTGTGTACAGTATCCAGATTACTCAGTGGATAAGTTGTGTATCTGTCTTGCATTCATTCAAAGTCCAGATATTCCCAGTGCACCCTGGAACGTTAACGTGTGCTCCAACACTCTTCTTTGTTGTTTTCTTCTCGTCCATCAGGGATGCTAGCAGTGACTTGGGATTGTGTTAGCAGTAGTTTGGCCTAGCATTGCTCTGCAGTTAGGATTATTGCCACAAACATCATATATTAGCGACGGTACAGTGAGTTGGGACATGCAGACATGCATCCTCTGGTCTTCTACCAGAAGCCTGGGAGCTTGAGGGTTCTGCTGTTCCTAGAACAGAACTTTTCTGGACTGAGGTGTCGGATGTTTTTCCTGGGATCTGCTTTAGCCACTCCCCCAGGTTGGGGGTTACTGTCCCAACTGCGGCGATGTCTTCACTCGCCAGGCTTTCTCAAGTTCTTCTTTGAGGCCTTGGTACTTCTCTAGTTTCTCGTGTTCCTTTTTCCTGAAGTTGCATCACTTGGTATCGCCACATCAACCACAACAGCTGCCCTCTGTTGTTTGTCCACCGCCACGATGTCCGGCTGGTTCATCATCACCATTTTGTCAGTCTGGATCTGGAGGTCCCACAGGAGCTTGGTTCTCTTGTTCTCCAAACACCTTAGAACAGGGGTGTCAAACTCATTTTAGCTCAGGGGCCAAATTGAGGGAAATCTAGTCCCAAGTGGGCCGGACCGGTAAATTAGAAACAACTTCAGATTGTTTTCTTTGTTTTAATACAATCAATATAAAACAAGGCTGGAGCCTGAGGACAGTGTATCCAAAATAGTACAAGTACAACACCTGAAGTGTACTTGAACATTTGAAATAAATAAAAATTAATAAATCAATAAAAAAACATTCCTTAGTGATTCAGAGCTTACTGATCACATGGCTAGATCAGTTTCATGCAGCACTTAAAGTATATTTGACTCATTTTACTTTACATCTTTTAGCTTTCACCAGCACATCAATATCAGAAGTCACATCCTGAGTGGCGGCCAACTTCAGGATGTGATTCAAGTTCTTGTGTGAGCCTTGAGCGCAGCTTTGTTTTATTTATACTCATTACAGAGAAAACTTGCTCACAAAGATACGTTTATTTTCACTCTACATTGTAAAGTATGAAAATAAAGTTTACACAACCATCTCGCGGGCCGGATTTAACCCGCTTGCGGGCCGGATCCGGCCCGCGGGCCGCATATTTGACACCCCTGCCTTAGAGGGTTTTACCCACTTTGACCTTGGGGCTTCCAGTCCATACTCTGCACAGATGTTCCTGCACACACATATAAATACATACATGTATGGACGCGTTATGAGAAACTATTTGTAAGTAGGGCAGATAACATGAGATGGTTCTTCTTTTCAATCAAGTCATACAGGAATGTTGTTTATTTAAACTTTGCAGTTTGCTTTTAATGTTGCTTTTGTTGTTGAATTAATTAAATGAATAAACAAAAAAATAAAAATATCGGTCAAAGGGACGATGTCAGCTATCTTTATATCTGGTTCTTTCTTCAGGTCCCACAGATGGATCAAAAGAGGCTTCCTGGCTGCTGTTCTCTGCGTTTTGGTGCCCGTCACATTTAAAGTGCTCCCAGACTTAATTCAGCACTTTATTTACACTTACAGACGTGAGTGTGTACCCAGTCTGCCCCGTAGGCTAATAACTGTTTTATAACCCCTCTGGCTGCCAGCGGAAAATAAATCTTCTCCTCCTGTGTTTAGTCAGCGTGCCGTTCTTCATAGACTTAAACCGACCTGCCGACTTCGGTCTTAATCACACCATCAACATGTATTTAACTTCAGAGGAGGGGATTTCTCTGGGCGTGTGGTGAGTTAATGACACATTTTTCTGGATTTTATTACTTTTAATGTGAGCTGCATCTCTGAGCGGCGCATTAATTCAAACTGCTCAAGGCACACGGTTCCCGAAAGTCGATGGAAAGAAGCACAAGGGAAGGACCTGGAGTGGTACCAGAACACCTTAAGCGATGGAAGTCCTGTTTTTATTTACCTCCACGGTAACACGGGAGCAAGGTATGACAAACAACACGACTGGGTTTGGAAAAGTTTCACATCGAAGCACACATTCATCTTAAAAAAACGCTCTGTTTGCATATTCATCCTCTCAGAGGAGCTCCACATCGAGTGGGCGTGGCCAAGGTGAGAAACATTAATCCTTTTGTTTTCCCGTCTAAATAATAATTAGCATTTTGTGTCTACAGTTGCTGAGTGCACTCGGATACCACGTGCTGGTGCCCGACTACAGAGGTAATTACTGCTTCCTCTCCTTCATTTAGCCCTTTCACATTAATTGGATTCATTTTGAAGCGGGACCATCCCTGTCCACCCGCGTAGTTGTGCTTGATGAGCGGTTTGCTGTGAGGAATACAAAAGAACCGGGCTTGGTTTCCCACTAAGTGACTGCCACCTTGTGGTGCCTGTGAGAGCTGTGTGTTTTTGTGAGTGCTGATGTGCAGAACCTCTGGCAGGGTTCGGAGACTCCACGGGAGAGCCGACTGAAGCCGGTCTGACTGCGGATGCTCTGTGTGTGTTCAACTGGGTCAAAGCACGCAGCCGAGACAGCCTGGTGGTGATCTGGGGACACTCTCTAGGAACCGGGTCAGTGAAGAAACACACTCCAGCACGCCCACGTCGACCCAGAGCACTCGGTTGCTGTGATGATGTTGGATTATGTACTCGCATATTATTAACTCTTTAAACATGATAGTAGTAGCCTCTAAAATGTGCATGAGTCAGAAAATGCTTGTGATTTTGTGGTATTTTTATTAACTTAACCAACAGCTGCCATTGTTGAAATGAACCCCCCAAACACACACACACACACACACACTAACACACGCTTATACGTTTCTTCTGTGTGTGTATTTTTGTCACTTCAGCTCAGCAAACAAGCTACAAAATCAAACAGTTGTCTCAGTAAATACAAAAACGTTTTTCAGACGAGGATTTCATTTATTAAGGGACATTCCAAACCAACCTGGCCCCCTTTTTGAAAACCTAATTCCCCTTCTTGTTAAATCATGAATTAACTTTGATTAATTACATTATTTATGAGTCCAAGTTCAGTTCCACCAGCCACACTCTGACTCCGATAGAACCTGTCTGACAACAGGAAGTAGGCTAAAAGAGCTCAAAAAGCAAAATATCATGCCTCGTTCTGAAGGAATATAAGAACAAAGGAACCCAGAACATCATCTAAAACCCCACAGGCCTCATCTGGGAGGTCAGAGGTCACGATTCAGCTGTAGGAAAGGGATGAGGTGAAAATGTCCTTCATGGGCGAGCTCCGAGACTGAAACCGCTGCTGATCAAAGAGCCATCCCACTTTTACCTGTGATCCCAAAGACTTCTGGGTAAATGATTAGTAAATGAACCTTCTGGAAGGTGTGCATCTCCTTTTAACTAGAGTCAAACTAACACTAAAACAACAGTCTGGCATGGTGGTGGGCAGTGTGATGGTCTAGGGCGGCTCTGCTGCTTCAGGACCAGGACCACCTGCTGGAACATCCTGAAGGAGAGCATCTAACCTTTGACCTTAAACAGGGACGTTCCTGCTGGAAAACCCTCTGATGTGGCCGAATTCTAGCTATTGTTTAAAGACTAAACTCTTCCACAACAGCGTGAAAGACTCATTACCACTGAGGGTGTTACAAACCAGTTAAGTTGCTTTTTCCTCATCAGCCAAACTGTATTTTGGTTTACTCTCGTCTTTGTTATTGAAGTCTCTTTATTGATTTTAAGCGATTTAATGTGACCAAAGAAGAAAAACGAGAAATCTGTAAGGGGCTAATAGATTTTCACAAGACTCTCGCCAAAGGGGGAACAAACGGGGCAAACTGAAAGTCTGCTTTTTCTGTGCAGGGTGGCCTCGAACACGGCAGTCAAACTGCTGGAGGAAGGTGGGTTTCGCCCTCGGATATAAACAAACGGACTGGCTCTCAGTCTTATTGTGTCTTTTTACCTGTTCAGGTGTGGTTTTTGATGGTGTGATTCTGGAAGGGGCCTTCAACACCAAACGACAGGAATTAACTTTTCATCCCTTTACTTGGGTAACCCAAACTTCACAG